TGCAGCACTTTGTATTATGTGTTAAAACATGCTCTATGAATTTTTATTATTATTCATATCCTGAATGTTTATTTATAAAATGTAGTGTCTCTTCTAGTGTTACATTTTCTGATAGTTACAGTGGATCAGCATCTTTCTCTCATTCTGTTTGGAGATCTTTGATACTTTTGACCTTATTTAGTTTGTTTTGTAAAAATAGGAACTATATCGCATGAATGCCTGTACTGTATTATGGACCTGACCCATCAATAGCCCATCATCAATAATCCTATGCAACAGATACCCAAAGGTTTCACTTTTATTTAGGAGAAACTTGGAATAAAAAATTACTCTGGTGAAAAAAGTAAGAAAGAGTGCCACACACACACACACACACAGGGTCTGCACAGCTATCCTTATTAGAACTTTACATGGACTTCAATGCATACGCAAAACCATATCCACAGTTCATGCCTAACCGAACCTTAAACTCAACTCCCTAAGCTTAACCAGGAACTCCTACAGTAATTTTTGCTTCATTGGTCTCCATGAGGTCTGCTGGAAATAACAATGTGACAAATGCTGAAACACAGAGAGAGAGAGAGAGAGAGGGAACATGTAGGACAACTGTCTCTTGTCTGAGCTGCGTTTACAAATGCGCAGACCACGCCTAAAACTTCTGGCACACAGGAATCAGACTAACCACACACACACACACACAAACACTACATGTCGCATTTCAGTGAAACTAACCCATTAAAGGTGAACTTACCTAAATTAACCATGGTGGATTTATGTCCTCTCAGCTCGCATCAATGTAAAAGTTGTATTAAAGTCATCTCTGGCAGCTTTTAGACTGTGTGCAGTTGTTAGTCTGTCCCTGTCTTCCTCTACCGACGCTCACCTGCCCACACACACACACACACACATCACACACACACACAGTCAGGCGCTTGTTCCTACCGCTTACCTGTACACAAGCTCCGCCCCTCTACCTTTAGTAACGAAACCTGTTTTTGTGATACTGCTTTATCTCCTGTATGTTCCAAATGCAAAGATCCGTGTTTAATGTTGCATGTATTTACAGTGACTCACACTAACAACTCATGACTGTCTTTACAGTCTCTACATGAGGATTTATATGTATAACCCAACCCCCCACCAGGCTATAGACAGTGGATTGCTTCACACAAGCTTTGGGACATCATCTTTTCATTGTCTATTGTTTATGAACAGTTTATTCTCACCACATGTGCCACTTTGTCAACCGTGGCCACTCTTCTTTTCAAGGTATTAAATATTTCATTTCCTTCTTTTCCATTTTCTTCAAATTACATATTTATCACTATTTCTGGAATTCATCAGTAAAATTCATTTTCATTCAAAACCGTCATTTATACATTTCATTTGTGTAAACACAGCAATACAATATCCAGCATACTACATACAACATACAACATTCATATAACATACAGCGTACAACATACCACATACAGAATACAACATACACAATACACAAAATTTAACATACAACAAACAATACACAAAATATAACATACAACAAACAATACACAAAATATAACATACAACAAACAATACACAAAATATATCATACAACATACCACGGACAGGAAGAGACTGAATAAACTGATCAGAGGGGGGAGCTCTCTGGAACCAGTGGAGGTGGTGGGAGACAGGAGGGTGTTGGTCAAACTGTCCTCCATGATGGAGACAGTGTCCCACCCCATGCAGGACTTTTAACAACACTGAGCAGCTCCTCCAGTGACAGACTTCTTCACCCCAAGTGTGTGAAGGAGAGATTCAGGAAGTCCTTCCTCCCTGCTGCTGTCAGACTGTACAACAAGCACTGCACCCAGTAGACCACCATACACACTCCCTCTCTCTCTCTCTC